CGTTGTTTTATTTATATCAATTTTGTTCTGTTGGCAGTGGTAGTGCTGTTCAATATCTTGATCTTTTCCATGGTTATTGCCACTTGCTCTCGTGATCAAGAAACATGTGCCTCTATGCCTGCTGTGTCTGCTGAGCCTGAGTCTAACCAATGTAACTTGTCTAACTCTATTCAACAAAATGGCCAAATGATTTCAAATATTGTTGCTACTCTTGCCAATCAAGGATCCATTGGTATATCCACTGCTGGTGCTGTTGATGATGTATATGTTGCAGTACAGAAAATACTACAGATACAGAATGCAACTTCTGTATTGAACTCTGCTACACCAGTGTCCTGTAAAGCTATTAAGGAGGTTCTGCCTAATAGTCCTTCTGGCTACTATTATGTTAACGGTCGCAACATTTACTGTAATATGGAGGAGCTGTGTGGTTCAGGAGGAGGATGGACAAGACTAGCATATCTGGATATGACTGACGCTACAGTGAACTGTCCTTCTGGATTTAGACTGTACCAGTCAGGTAGTGTTAGAGCTTGTGGTAGACCAATAACAAGTGGAGGCGGTTGTACATCAGTTCAGTTTCCATCTAATGGTATCAGTTACTCTCAAGTGTGTGGTAGAGTAGTAGGATATCAGTATGGATCAACTGATGCAGATTATCCAGGCAATTATGACTTAAGTACATCATATGGCAGTGTTATTTTACCACATCACAATGATATTAATTCTTATTATGTTGATGGTATCAGTATCACTCGTGGGTCTCCCCGTCAACATGTCTGGACACTGATGGCTGGACTCAATGCTGCTAGTAATTATTCGGTAACTAATGATGGTCGTTTTAACTGTCCTTGTTCTCAAGGTTATCTTCAAAACACAACTCTTCAGTCTTTCATTGGTAACGACTACTTCTGTGAATCTGGTAATCCTGTTACTGACGGTTCACTTCCAAGTCATTCACTCTATACAGCTGATCCATTGTGGGATGGTGAAGGATGCGATAGTCTTGAAGTTGATTGTTGTACATCTCGTCCTAGTCTTCCATGGTTTAATAAGATACTAAACGCTACCACTACCGACTACCTTGAGATGAGGATGTGTGGAGATGAAAATAGCCATGGCGAAGATGCTCCTTTTAGCTTTTATGAGTTGTATGTCAAATGATGACAATATACTGAGTAGAAGCTGTGTTTGTGTGTGCTGTTCATTAGACTAGCAGCTGCTTTAATTGTGCGATACTTTACTGTTTATGTGTAGTTAGAACCCCATGTATTGTAGTAGGTTGTACTTGTATATTCCTTTTTTTAAATAAAATTCTTGCTGTTGTAATTGTATGAACATGTACATTTTTTGGATAGCTGTGCCATCTCATAATTCATTGTAAAAATCCAACTTTGATTAAAAATTTTAAAAACGTGTATTACGATCAACATTATGAGTGAAACCTTTACTGGTGAAGTAAAGCTCTGGTTGTTTGTTTGTCTGTACACGTTTATGAGGGCTTAACAAGGGGGCGAGTTCCTTATTGTTTCTCATTCTTTTATGAAAAATGAAAATGTTATTCTCTTATGTTTTGTACACTCAAGTACATGTTTTTATGTTGTGTATCAACTTTGAGCTGATTCTGATCGAAATCAGATTCTTGTGAATTTTTGAAGTTGCTCAAAAGACCCTGTACTGTAGTACATGGTATTTTGTCTAAAATGGATAGGAGATAGTTCTCCTTTTTGATGTCTTTATTTACTGACCACCCATACTTACATGTATCAATTAATCATACCACCCATGCCCATTAAAATGGTTTGTTTGTTTGCAAGCTAGTCACGTTACTGGTTGAGGCTCTCGCATGAATTCTGGTATTCTTTGTTCAAGAAATATTTAATGTGTTGGTACGTTACTGGTTGTGGTTCTCAAAATTCTCACATGAATATTTGTATCTTTTGTTCCAGCTAGTATTCATTGTGCTTCCTTCTTGATATGAATAATAATGCTTCATTACTATCGAACGATTTAGTTTCTTCTTTGTTCGTAAGATGGAAAAGAAGGATAATGATGCTGCTCTTTCAAATGTAGATGATTCTCAACTACCTGCATGTACATGTGTACTAGCTCCTCGAAATAAGGATTTACAACATTGTTTTATTTTTATCAATTTTGTCCTGTTGGCAGTGGTAGTGCTGTTCAATATCTTGATCTTTTCCATGGTTATTGCCACTTGCTCTCGTGATCAAGAAACATGTGCCTCTATGCCTGCTGTGTCTGCTGAGCCTGAGTCTAACCAATGTAACTTGTCTAACTCTATTCAACAAAATGGCCAAATGATTTCAAATATTGTTGCTACTCTTGCCAATCAAGGATCCATTGGTATATCCACTGCTGGTGCTGTTGATGATGTATATGTTGCAGTACAGAAAATACTACAGATACAGAATGCAACTTCTGTATTGAACTCTGCTACACCAGTGTCCTGTAAAGCTATAAGGA